ATAGAACAGCTCAGGTTGGAAGGCTGTTCCAGAAGGAATGAGGTCCAAAATCCTGCTAAAAGTAGGACAAATTTAGAGGTTAGACCCAGCTTCCAAGTTAGATCAGGTTGTCCAGAACTTTGTTCAGTATAATTGTGAATGTGTATGTCCAAGAACGGAGTTTCCACAGCTTCCCTGGGTAATATGGTCCACCGTTTGACCATCCTTATTATGAAAATTACTACCTTACATATAATTAAATTGTCCTTTGCTCTAATTTGCTTCTGTTGTCTCTCATCTTTTTGCTGTGCACCTCCAAGTACAGTCTGGATCCATGTTCTCTATAACCACTCATTGGGTATTGGAGCACTGCAATTACCTCCATCTTCTCAACTTTTCATCTCCAGCCTGAACAAACCCAGCTTTCTCAGCATCTCCTCATATATCCTGTGCTCTAGTCCCTGGTCATCTTAATAGCCCTCTGCTAGTGTTGCACCATGTGGTCAGTGCCTTTCATGTACAGGGGAGACTACAGCTGGATACAGATGCAACCTCATAAATGTCACACAGAAGGAAATAACCACTCCCCCTCAATCAGCTGGCTATGTTTTTTCTAAAGCATAGCATGTAGTTAGCCTTCATTGCTGCAAAAACACACTGTGGATTCATATTCAATTTGTTGTCCACCAGGACCCCCAGATCCTTTTATGCAAAGCTGTTTTCTAGTCAGTCAGCTCCAAGCCTTTACTCTTGCATGGGGTTATTCCATTCCAGGTATGGAAACTTGCATTTGCCTTTGCTAAGCTTCATGAAGTTCCTGCCAGTCTGTCCGCCCAGCCTATTGAGATCCCTTTGAGTGGAAAATAATGGATACACTCAGTCCAGAACAGGATAGAAACTCCTCCTGCTTGCTTTTGCCTTCTATTATTTTGATTATCCTGATGACAGAAAGCAAAATTCTTTCTCTGTCATGGAGTTATTTAATTTATAGAGAAGATTATCTGTTTCCTCTCCTTCACCAAGACAGACTTTGTACTGCAGTGACAAGGAAAAATCAAGCAAAATACTAATGCATACATCTCTCTAAAATAATACATGCAATTAAAAATAGCTCTGACTAGAATGACTGGAAATGTTATAAATAACTTGGTAATTTGAATGTGAATCTGTAGGTCAACAATGAAAACCTAGACAAAGCATCTCCTTTTTTGTTATTGTAGGTTATATTATTAGATGCTTACAGTTCCACTGGTAAATCCCATAACCTTGGTTAACATGATTACAATGTGCTTATGACACAAAGGGGTATGTTGCTTATTAGTAGAAGACAAAATCTGTCTGTTAAAAGGAAATTAAAGATGTTTATGTTAAACATTCTCTTCTCAGAGCTGTTCTGACTCACTGTCATGTGTGCATCCGGATATATCTAGTCAGGCTGATTTGAGCAACAGCTTCTAAAAATACAGTAAATCTTTGGTAAATTCTACTGTCAAAACAGTTACCCACTAAATTCTGCAGTAGAGATTGGAAGGCATGGCGCTGGTGTCATTGCATTGGTATGAAACTAAACTAAACAGATCTATTACATGACTTTCAGAGCTGGAGGGAGAATCATTTTAAAAATGTGCCTTTGAGATAATTTAATTCATTGCCCCTGAAGATTCGTGGGAGTCTATTCAGACACCATTCTTGATCAAGGTCACTACCTTATTGAGTCCATGTGTTCAAATTTACTCATAAGAATATTTTTAAAGAAATCAACTGCCTTTATCACATGAGAAAAGCTATGTAAATGTGTATGCATATGGAGAACTTGAGTCAAATAGATACATGAAGTCTACAAAAATAGCAGTAAATGAAACATGTTCAAATCACTCTCTAGCACTGAGGCCAACTTGAACAATACAAAATGTCTCCTGTAAAAGTGTCAGTTGTGAATTATCTTTGCTCAATGCTAATTTCTGGGTATTCCCATACCTGGGAATTATTTGGAAAAGTGCTAGTTTGACTAGTCAAAACTATATCAAGGACTGTTTGTACAACTCAACAGGATAGTCAACTCAGAGTCCCATTGTCCAGGAGTTTTCCCTGTCACTGTTTAATCTACATTTGGATAATGTCCAAATGGAGATTAGTAACAAGTGGTGTCCCTCAGGGGTCTGTATTGGGAGCAATATTATTTAATATCTTTATTAATGACATAGTGGGATTGAGCGCACCCTCAGCAAGTTTGCCAATGACACCAAGCTGAGTGGTGCAGTTGATTCACTGGAGGGAAGGGATGCCATCCAGAGACACCTTGACAGGCTTGATGAGTGGGCCCATATGAACCTCATGAAGTTCAACAAGGCCAAGTGCAAGGTCCTGCACATGGGTCGGGGCAAGCACCAGTATCAGTACAGGCTGGGTGATGAATGGATTGAGAGCAGCCCTGTGGAGAAGGACTTGGAGATACTGGTGGATTAAAAATTAGCTATGAGCTGGCAGTGTGCACTTGCAGCCCAGAAAGCCAATTGTATCCTGAGCTGCATAAAAAGAAGTGTGGCCAGCAGGTCAAGGGAGGTGATTCTGCCCCTCTACTCTGCTCTCATGAGACCCCACCTGGTATACTGCTTCCAGTTCTGGGGTCCCCAGTACAATAAAGGCATGGACTTGTTAGAGCAGGTCCAGAGGAGGGCCACAAAAATGGTCAGAGGGCTGGAGCACCTCTCCTATGAAGAAAGGCTGAGAGAGTTGGGGTTGTTCAGCCTGGAGAAGAGAAGGCTCTGGGGACACCTTGTTGCAGCCTTTCAATATATAAAAGGGGCTTATAAGAAAGATGGAGAGAGACTTTTTTCCAGGGCCTGTAGTGACAGTACAAGTGGTAATGGTTTTAAACTAAAAGTGGGTAGATTTAGATTAGATGTAAGGAACAAATTTTTTTATGGGGGTGGTGAGACACTGGTTGCCCAGAGAAGTTGTGGATGTCCCATTGTTGGAAGTGTTCAAGGTCAGGTTCGATGGGGCTTTGAGCAATCTGATCTAGTGGAAGATATCCCTGTCCACAGCAGAGGGGTTGGACTAGATGATCTATAGAGGTCTCTTCCAAACCAACCCATTCTATGATTCTATGATACTGTTACGGAAAGAGCCATCATTTGGTTGGTTGAATGAAATCAAGGTTGGTGAAATGGTTGGTAGAATTTTCTTAACTGGAATTTCAGATTTTGTCCAGCTGTATTTCAGGGAGCAGCAAGGGCCAGCTGCTCCCTGAGGGAAGGGGAGATGGGAGCCAAGGGGAACCCCAGCTTAAGCAGTGTCTTCACCAACAAGGTGCAGTCCCACAGGGTCTGAATGCAGCAAGCAGAGCAGGATCCTAGTAACAGAGTCCATCAACAAGGCGAAGTGATGAACCAGGTTTAGGGTCCATCCAGGGAGTCTAGCCAAGAGCAAAAAAGACAGGATCAGAGACAGGACTGGAGACAAGGCTACAACATGGCTCCAAAGTCCACCTAGGAGACAGGACCAGAGACAGAACTGGAGCTAGATACACCTAGGCGTAGCTCAGGCAGCGACTAAGGCCTGAGCTTAAGTGGACACCCCAGGCCCATGGGCAGAGGGTGTGGGTGGAAGTCCCACTGGAGGCTGCTCAGGGCCCTTAAGGCTTGTTGGTGTACTCAGGGTGCTGGTACTATGTTTTGACTTAGATAGACTATTTTCCTATACTAATCATCCTCCAAGAGTCAAAGTTTAATAAAAAGTCACTTAATCTGCACAGTAAGAAACCATCAGTATGCCAATAGACTGTGAGTTAGATACATAATAAGGTAAGGTTTGTGGTTATATATCTGTTCACAACCCATATACATCCAGAGCACCTCAACTTTCATGGGAATTATGTTAATAGTAAAGGTTTCACCTTATCTTCTGTTACTGTGACTTAATTTTTTAAAATGCATCTGTGCAGGCTCAGATACATACAGTAAGGAAGAGGGAAGAAGGCGGTTGTCCTGTTTGAAACAGCACATCTTTCACTTAGATCAGACCTGTGTCCCTCCATGCAGAATTTCAGGGGAAGGTAATGAGCTTCCACGTAAGGACTTTAAATTTTAAAATTTTAGGTAATATTGCTTTATGAACAATTATATTAATGTAATTAACTTATCTGAAATCAGGAAGACTACTTATATGTATGACAGTTTGCAAGATTGTGCACCAGTTGTGTCCTTCTTCCAGTTCAGCTGCATTAGAGTAGCTTTTTACTCATGGTGCAGCACAGACTGTATTATCTATTAATAGGAAAATAGGTTTTTTAACTTCCTCAGAAAGAACAATTTTTTTTTTTTTTCTCTTGCTAAGTGAACGACAGCTTTGACAAAGATTGCATTTACTCTTGAAAATTCCCATAGAAACTGTTTGGCCACAAGCAAAACAAAGTATTTCTGGCTTTCCCTCTCAGCACTTCCTCATTTTTAAAATACAGCAGTGCACAGCGATGGACATTAATAAACAGCAGAGAGACACAGCACTCATCTCAGCCACCTGAACACTATGTCTGAAAGAGGAGACGCACAAAAATGGCTGATGTGCCAAAGCGCTGCATTACAGCCGAGCGACCAAAACTTTACATTATTAATGGCTCAGGTAGGATTGCACATAAGTTGGCCCTGTCGGCCAATATATAGTTTCTTCCCTCCATCTTTAATGATAATGTAACAGAACAATAGGTAATTTCCATGAATAGCTATTTGCTGAGCAATAATAATCTCTGGGAGGGAGGGCGAAGACTATGCTGTCTCTTCACAGCAAGAAATGAGGGAACAGAACAACACTCAAGACCTAATTTGCACTCTAATAGAAGACAGTGGAGTCTTATTAACAAGGAACTAGCACAAAACATCATTGCAGCCTTTATAATATATTGAGATTGCTTTCTGTTGGGGAGGGTTCATAAAAACACGTATGTGCATACACAATCCTGCACTTTTTTAAAATGCAGTGCAAGCATTTCACGTGAGATACTGCGTAGCACTTAAGCAAATATGGCACATTGCCAGGGAGCAGCAAGGACCAGCGCCTGCCTCAGGGACAGGGAGCTGGCAACATGGTGGACAGGGCAGGGGCCTCCCCAGTCACAGCCCAGGCCCAGCCCCGAGCAAGGCGAGCAGGGTAGGCCCAGGGGTAGCAGCCAAGGCCAGCCCAGAGCCCAGATCACCAGGCAAGTCTGTGGTGACAAGGCAGGTCCGGGGCCAAGCCGGGAAGGCAGTCAGCCAGTCAGTGCCCGGTGAGGGGAACTGGGGTCAGACACAGCCCCGGGACAGCCGGGCAGGGCTGGGCTGAGGCCAGGCGGGATGTCAGTCTGCGGGTGTGGGTCAGGGTCAGTGAGGCCCGCGGCCAGGCCCAGGCACAGTCACACCTGCCACTCAGCAGGAGCTGTAGCTGTGGGCCAAGCACTACAGCCGCCACCAAAAGCAAGGGTCTCCAGACCACCTTGCTCTGCAAACAGAGGAATATAGCCATTTATACACATGAGAAAATGATGACATGCTTGGTGAGGGTACTGTCTGGAACCCAAAATCTAAAACCAAAAAATGAAAAAGACATGATTTAGATGATCACAAAAGTGACATAGGAGAGGCAAATGTGAGACCTTTGTATGACCCTACAGTGAAGGCTGGGAACCAACACAGAGCCTGTGGCATGTGGTAGCTGATGAAGAGGAGGACTGTATAAAGTGTTTTGGCATGTAAGAGTAGAGGGGAGACAGATGCCTAAGGAACAAGTAGTAGTGGATGCCTGGCATCAGGGGACGAGACAAAGATGTTGCAGCAAGTCCTAGAAAAAGTAGAGTATGGAAGAATGGTAAACAAAGCATCTGAGAGCATAGATCAGAGAAAATGGAGGGATGCAAAGAGCTTCTATGACCTCTTCTCTCCTCTGTGTCTTTTAAAAGCCTTTAAGCCTGGCTAAAGTTGTGTGTTTCATCTTCCCAGATTACCAAGGTGATTACTATGTACTATTTATACTAAGGCAGTACTCTGAAAACCCAGTCAAGGATCATGAACCTTACTCTGCAAAATGCTGTGTAAAATGACAATTCATATTCGCAGGCCACATATCTGAGAGTACATAAAGAAAAAAATACAGTGGGTAACCGGGACTTCGGATGCTTTTAGATTTCACCTCAAGATCTTATGTATTCTGGGTTATGTTTTAGAGAGGAACAAAAAATTGTATCTGATATGCCACCTTCACAATCTAGGTATTATGAACAAAACACGTTCATATAAAATGCACTAAATAAATTTTAATAAAATATAAAAATTATACAAAATATGTTTAACATTCCCACCCAGTAAACGTACTCTTCTGATTCTGCTTTTGCAAATGCAGAAACCCAGCTTTCAATATTTTCAAAAAAAGGGAGCTCCAGTGTTGCAAATTGCCATATAAACACAGGTGGTTCAGGAAGACTGAGTTTTGTGCTTGTAGTTCGCCTTTTTCATAGCCTCATCCTATTACCTACTAGGCTATACCAGTCCTTCTCAGGCCCATAAAGGAGATTTTTTCCTCTCTAATTTGGCTAACAGCAAAAAAAGATAACAGAACAAACAAAGATTAAGAGGCAATTTGCTATGTGGTGCATAGCCAGGTTAATAAAGAGAACTCCTGCTGGTAGCATATTCTTAGTGAGTAATGCACTTCATTTAGCTCAATTACCTCGACCAAGAAAATTACCGTGCTTATTAGTGCTTGCCATCCTAGTTGCAACATATCAGTTCACCAAGTAGATGCATCCTAGAGAAACTATGTCCTACCACATGAACAAAATCTCAGCACCCTGGTGAAACAGACCCAGTATCAACCCTCTGCAGAGTCTCCAGAAATCCTTGATTACTGTAGGAACACCAGGGACCCAAAAAGATGACACTCATGGCACTAAACTCCAATCAACTTGAGATAAAGTGAAACAAGGCCAATACTGGGCACTTCTGAAAATTCCCAGTTTAAACATAGTTACAAGCATGTTTTATAAAGAGACTAATACCTTTCCTTAGTTGTTTCCAGCTAATCACTGCAGTACTTGAAATTGTAAACAGGTGGAACGTATCCAGCACATTTTGTAAGTCTGACTGAAAAGACATTAATGTATTAAAAAATCAAAATACTTTTCTTAGCACTTATATTCCTTCTGCTTAGGTCTTTCTTTCAGAGCTTGCCACTTTTAGTGCTTGGATTTGAATTTCTGCAATGGCTAAATTGAGAACGTGCAAATTAAATAGAAAGGTGATGGTATGCTGCCTGTACCAAAATGGATTAAACTTGCTGTAATCATTGCTGAGATGTATTTTCCTACAGCCTTTAAATTCTATCTGTTCTGCAGGATGCAGCTACCCATGCTATTTAATGCCATTCACTCTGCATGACTATCGTAGGTAGCCCCTGAAGTTAAAAAGGTATCCAATTCAGAAGTATACAGACTGAAATGCTGCTTTTTAGGTCTTTCCTTGCATTATTTTAAATTATATATTCATAATATTAATATATATTTATTTCTGACTGTATAAATGGGAGAAATTCTTTTTTTACAATATGTAAGAAAACAAGGGTATAGTTTGTCATACTTTGCCACTGATTTATTTCTTTAATTAAAAGCATTTTGTGTAAATCCTCCATTGACATAACATTTTTCAAAGTAAGAAGATAGGTTTTTTTGTGAAAGAAGAAATGATAATTTATTTAAAGTATTATCTCTGCTATTATCTGTTGAGTCAAATGTGGGGAAATAAGCAAAGCAATGAGCATTGTGACAGGTACACTAGTGTGTGTAATATAATTGCACCAAACAATTACAAATATATCTGTGTCTTTCTTCATAAATCTAAGAGACAAATAAATCAGACATAATTTTTATTATCATTTAGTAAAGGAAAACTGATTTTTATTTCACGACTAGTGTAAGTATTCATGCCTATAATTAATCTCGTCCAATACTTTGTATTAAAATACCCTGTCTCCAGTTATTTACTCATCTTCCAATTATTAGCTATTTAAGATTAAAACATCCCATTTTGTGCAGCACAAGAGAACAGAGGAAACGGTGACAGGAGGAGATATGAGGATCAGATGAGGAGTCAAAGGGGTCTGGCAGCGCAGCCTTATGCAGTGACCTGGATAAATGATACTACAGAAGAGATGTGTGATAATCTGTCATCCACAGGGAATTTGCCTGCTTTGTTGCTGAATTTGGAAAAGAATGTGGCAGGAGCCTGCAGAAGGGGAAAGGATGGTCTTAGATAGCGGTAATTGGAAGTCAGAGGAATAGGTTCTTTCTCCCTCTCACCAAGTTTCTTTGTGATACTAGGAAAGCTACATGAGTTCCTGCACAAGTGGCTGTATAGCAGTTTACCACTAACGAGGGTAGAATTGCAACAAAGTTGGTTGCACCAAGCTAATTTTATGTAATTAGCATAGGCAACAATAGTACATGGCATGAAGTTCAGTATATTGTGAAAGTCTGCCAAGATTCCCAATAGTGGAGCAACTTTAGTTGCCATGCAAGCTGAATCTATGCCACCACTTCCTTCTCTTTTATTTTTACCCTTGCTAGTTGAATTAAAGCTTCCTGAAGCATGTATCAGCTAAAAGATTCTTATTCAGGTACTCACAGCTCTGCACACTGAAAGTTATAAAATTAACTGATATTCTTAGTCATCGTACAATTACTGAAATTAAGTTTTTCAATTTTGAGACACTTTATTGCAATTTTTTTTTAAATTCACTATGGGAAATGTTAGAGTGTTTTCATTTTAGCTTTTTATTCCCTGCATATTAATAAAAACAGAAGAATAGAAAGTTTGAAGAAGGATTTGTGCTGTGCTCATGAACTCTGTACAGCACTGGATCATACTCTGATTAAGACATTTTTTTCCTTAGCCATAAATTATTATATGCTTATGTAACTAAGTTATGAGTTTGCATTTAAATGTGTTTTAATGTAACATATGTTATGTGTATATGATAAGAAATATCTTTAAAAATTCCTGATAAGAGGCAAATGCCCCAGACAGATTCAATCACTTACAGAGAAGAAAGCCCCAATGACACAACAGCACCAGATAAGGAAATAGTTATTATTAACTTATTATCATATGGTTCTTTCTTAGAATATTATACTTTTGTTCTAAAGCGATCAGTGTCAGAAATGATGCTGCCCTTATTTTTTACATCATAGTAAATGTCCAGTGCCATTAAACAACTTTATATCACCAGTAACATTAAAGAAAGGTAATTTTTCAAAGTTAATTGATATTTTCAACATTCACCTTACTTTCTTTTGCATAGTTCACACTGCAAATTTACAAATTAAAATAAAATCTTATTCACATTTTAATCTGGTCCCTCAGTGAGGGTTCCATGTGTTCAGCATTGAGACAGACTTCTCCTTAGAGGGTACTGTAAAGAAGATTAGAGGATTCACAGCCTGTTGCGATTGAATAACTAGGAGGATTGTCAAAGAAGCTGCTGTGACAAACCTTTGAAATAAACAGGAGGAATGTCATGCAGCCTAGATGATTAGATTTCAGTCTGCACTTCATCAAGAAGTTTGTTCTGAGTCCAATGCCAGTAGATAACTCTGAAAGACAGTGGCTTCCTTGAACATTGTTGCTTCTACATCCATTTTGCTGTATGAATACAACATGAGATCTGGGAAATGGATGATCTCTGCATTTTATTTCAAGAACAATTGCTTAGGACCAAAATGAGCATAATTTCTGTACAAAGATTCTGAACTAAGGGAAAGTCATGAATTCCAATGGAAAGTTTTAATTACATGGTGTCCACATGAAGCTTATTAATGCTTATGGCCTATTCTTGCTTCTATATATAACCAAAACCAACCCAAGTATTATTATATCATTATTTTTAAATTAATGAAATATGCAAGAAAATAGATAGTAGGACAAAAGTAACATCAGTTTAAATTCAAATTGCATTGTGAAGAATAACTCAATCCTGAAATAGAATGAAAATAAAAATATTTTTTTTTCTTTTTTATTGCAAAGAGAAGTTGATATACTGCCAGTATTTCAAAACATGCAGCAAATAGAGAAAGACATAATCTTCTGGCTCACTAAAGATGGGTCTCTCTCAAACACTTTCCTTCTTAAAAGAAGAGATGACGGGGCAGGGGAAGATACTTGTTTCAAGACTGCTAATGAAAATTAAAATTTAATTAAGAGCTTTTTGAAATTCCGTGGGGCCTAATGTGTCAACAGTTTG